CTATCCTAGGGGCGCCTGGGTGGCGCAGTGGGTTGAGCGTCCGACTTCAGCCAGGTCACGATCTCGTGGTCCGTGAGTTCGAGCCCCGCGTCAGGCTCTGGGCTGATGGCTCAGAGCCTGGAGCCTGTTTCTGATTCTGTGTCTCCCTCTCTCTCTGCCCCTCCCCCGTTCATGCTCTGTTTCTCTCTGTCCCAAAAATAAATAAATACGTTGAAAAAAAAATTAAAAAATAAAAAATAAAAAAAATAACCTATCCTAAAGGTAGGGGCAGTTATATATGTCCATTGCACCTCTAGAAGTCTAAAAACATATCTCTATTTGAGTCTTTTTTTTTCTTTCCATTTATTTCCTTGTATACATATGTCTCCTTATTTTAGGATCTCAGAGAGACAGAATACAACATTTCTATGCCTTATTAGTGGGTCATAACTAGGCAGATACAGAAGAAATTTATCTCTGCAGCACTGTAACAAGTGGCTCTCTTTAATCTACATTCAGGTAAAAAGCTTTGATTCTATTTTTTTGTCATATATTTTTCCCAACTGTGCAATCTTTTATGATCTCCCAGGAAGATTAGCCTTACTGCCGCAAAACTTGATGGACAGAAAATCAGAGGCTTGTCTAGAATTGTTTCAATTTCCTTCTCCTGGAGAGAAAGCAGAAAGCACTTCAAATATCTCATTTTGGCTAACTTCGGCCAAGCATACATTGGTCGTGTTCTATGCCGGGCACTGTGCTCAGTGCTGGGGGATAAATGTGTGAGTGAGCCCTAGCCTCTGTGGCAAGGAGTTCACAGTGCCTACAACAGAGGGGTGCTCCTGCTCTTCGCCCCATTTCTAGCTGAAGAGGTGCAACGTGTTTGTAAAAACACAGAATTGAAATAAGCCTAACAGTATTGAGAAAAGATGCTCGTTGCCAAAATTTTCGTAACCAGAGTAGGAGATAGATGTACACTTGGGTCCACACCAGCTGCCTCCCAAATGAGTCCTCTCCCACCAAGTCAGCGATGGTCAGAGTTAATTCATCATTTCCACGTCATGTTTCTGTTGACCACCTGTTACACACCAAATACTCTTGGAGACACTGAGTGCATCTTGGGGAATAAAACACTTGTGGATAGCCCTCGCTTGGTGGGCCTTGCAATACAGGGTAGGAGATAGGACAAACATGTGAACAAATAAATAGATGCATACTTATAAAATGTGATAGATACTTTCTGGGAATCTGGGTTTCAATGCTAAAGAATCACAGTGGAAGATGAGGGAACCCTGCTTAGGCCATGCATGGGGAAAGCTTATCTAACGAAGTGACATTTAAGCCCAGACCTAAAAGATAAAAAGGGGCTGGTCATTTGAAGACAGAAGGGAAAAGAGAAGTGAACAGCATGTGTGAGGGGCCCTAAGGTAGGATAAAGTTTTTCATGCTTGAGAAACTAAAGATCTAGCTTGAATTCCTCCATGTATCCCTTTAGGGGTCCATGCCGTGGGGTCCCAGATTTACCTTTTCCTACATGATTATATTGACAAACTTTTGGAATATTAATACCCTCTTGGAGAAAATGTGCCCAGAGGCTTTCATTCAGTGAAAAAGTTATATTGTAAAGAAATAATGGTGGCACCACTGAATATACGCTGAGTTGGTAGCAAATCACGCTCTCTCTTGCTCTATAATGCTTCAGAATTTCTTTAGTTAAATACACTTTGGAAAGGGTTGCAATTCACACTTGTACAAAGACAGACATTAACCTAAGACTCCTTTGCAATATATGCTTTTCACTTCAATGTCCCTCATGCTTTGGTTTTGCTCACTGGCTGCATCTACGACAGGCAAAGACATTTGCAGGATGGCAAAACCCACTCCCAAAGGCTGAGGTTTTATCTAAGTCACTTTATGATAGAAGATTGCATTGAAATCCATTCAATTCCGTTCAAATCCATTCTTTTTTTTACCTTGCTTTTTTGGAATCTTTTAAACACAACCATTGTCACTTTTTCCTCTCTTGAGAAATTAAATCCCAGGATGATAAAAGCTGAACATGGAGTCCATCATTTGTCTCCCTTCGACACATCACAGGGTAATTCCATCAGTAGACATTAGGCTTAATGACCTTAATGAAGCCTCCCTATGTTAGGGCCCAGAGGGTCAAACTGCTGACCTAAGCTCTGCCTTACTCACGGCACCAGCTCTCTGGTCAAAGTCCTTATATTAAAGGGCAGAGGATACAGAACAGCCTGGCCAAAGTGGTCTGGCCAAGTTCTCAAGTCAAGGCCAACTCCTCTGCTCCTTCCCTCTTGTTATAGAGATGCATTTGTGCCCATCATGTGGGTGCTGACTAGCCAAGACCCCTTGCCCTTGTGCCGAGAGATCACTTGGCAGTCAGAGTGTCCATTCTCTTTTTATCCCTCGTATCTCATACCGAGTAGGC